GGGGGGGGGGGGGGGGGGGGGGGGGGGGGGGGAGGGGAGGGGAGGAAAAAAACCCCACACACAGTTGGGACTTTTTTGTATAGAATTTGTACAATATATTTCTCTTCATTTGCATATTTTACCCACAACTTAACATCCTTTTTACAGGCTGAACTCACTCAGCTTGATATAATCAAAATTCTTTCTTTCAAACAAATAGGAAAAATTCAAAATCGTAAACCCGTAAGAAAACAAATTAAAAACGATGATGAAAATAAGTCACCCCTCCCATTAGGAACAGTGTCCATTTGTACAATATATACGGTTTGGGTCAGAATCTCTTTATGGATCAGGCACATGTTTTCACGACACCTTTATTCTCGTCGGTTTTAGCTCCTGCCTGGCAACTCTGCCTCGGAGAAGGCTCAAAGGGAGGCTGGTCTCGGAGGCGTCGGCTCCTTGGTGGCGACCGGGTGGGATGCAAGGCGGCCGGGCCGGTGGGGCGAGCAGGAGAGAGCGGCAGCTGCGTGCGAAGCAGAACCTGGGCTCGCTCTATGCAAAGTGGGCAGAGAGACCAGAACAGCCAGGGCGAGGACAGACAGCAGCGGGCCGAGGCTGGCGTTATTTACAATTCGGCCTCCCGAGGACGGAGAGCAAAGTTGGTGGTGACGGCCCCCAGAGGCGTGACCCTGCCCTGCCTGTCTGTCTTGCCTGGGTCAGTCAGTCCGGGCCATCAGGGCTGTGGATGGCAGCAAGGTAAAGGGGTGAGTGCACTGTGCTGTCTTCCAGGCCGCCCCCCTACCCCGGTCAGAGTCGGGGCCCCGACACCTGCTCTGTGACCTCCCTCTGCACTGCGAGACCTACCTGGGTCTGGGTGGCACGGAGTGGGGCCTTCTCTGGGGGTGCAGGCAGAGCGGAAGGTGAGAACAGGTTTCCACCAAGCCACAGTACCAGCCTGCTTGCTTCCCGACACCATGGGGGACCGGACCGGGCCCAGGGCCTTGGGCCTTGTTGATGTCAGGGCAATGGGCCTTGGGTCACCAAGTTCCAGGACCTGCCCCCTGTCCCCTTTGAATGGTCCCTCATAGGATGGCTCCTCGTGCACCCTGGGGGCTTGACTGAGAACTGAGCTCTAGGGCTGCAGGAGGCTGCTGCCGCTCGGCCTCCTGACCCAGAAGGCAAGAGTGCTTCTGCAGGAAGACCCTCCTGGGACCTGCAGTCTCGGGCCCTTCCAAGCCAGACCCCTGCAGCCAGCGGTCACATGCCGGTGCTGACCTGCTCAGCTTGGCCCTGGCTGTGAGGAGCCTTCCATGTGCCCCGCGTCGGGGGACGTGCTCGGGCCCAGACGGCGTCCTGAAATGGCAGCTGCCGAGGCGCTCTTCACGCCGACGAGTCCCACGTGCCAACCCAGCCTCACACTCCAAAGCATGGCTTTGGAAAGAGAATCATCATCAGCACGCCAGGGCAAGACTGCGACCATAAAAAGAATGGAAAACAGCATTCTTGCCAGACCAATGACAGCCAAGCAAGCACGCAGAGTCCCAGAGGTGGATGCGACGGGTTACCGTGACCACGGAGAAGAAATAAAATCATCATATATTCTTTGTTTTTTGGTGTTTGTTTTTTTTTTTTTTTTTTTTTTTTTTTTTTACTTCTAAAATAAGATCTCGTCTGATAACATTTCAAGTCTTCAAGTACAGAAGCTTTCACGCGAACAGCGTCTCCCCCGAATGACCGTTCCACTGGGCACCCCTTGAGGCCTCGCGGGGGAGTCATGTGGTTCTGTTCTAAAAACGTCAGGTAGAAACTGAAATATGTGAAAACAACTAAACGCAGATGTGCTGGGAGTCAGAGCAGGAGCAATGCACACGGACGGCCCACTGGCTGTGACCAAGGGCACTTGTTCTCACCGAGGACTTCTGTGGGACGGCCATGTGCATTCCTGGGGGCCAGCAGGTGGCCAGGACGAGCTCTCACCAGCTTTGATGTGGACTGCCCAGTCTCAAGAAGCAAGAGCAAAGGAAGGGCTCCCAGGCCAGGCCGCTGCTGCTGCAGGTCCTGCTGAGAGGGCAGCTCTGGGCTGACTCTATCTTCACGTGAAGGGTTAGCGCAGGCAGCTCCGCTCCACGGAGACAGAACCCTTTCCAGAGAAGCTCCTTTCAGCTCTTCCTGGGCTGTGGCTTCCACAGGGTCAGACCCTGTGAACAACCTGCCCTCCTGAATAGCTCTGCAGTGCTCTGCTCTTTCTCACATGCTGCAGTGCGTGCAGGTGCTAGCTTGGGACGAAGCAAGTTCTTGGAGGCATGGCTGTTTGGCATTCCACTTGGAGTGGAAGCGGGAGCTCAAGAGAAGCCGGCACGGACACCACGGGCATTTTCCTGAATGAGTTTAGATGTCTGCTCTAAAGTCCTTGTGGACAGATGGGCCAGTTCCATGCACGCCATAGCAGGGGCTAACACTCGACATTCCAGAGGCGGGTTGCCTTGTTTGGGTAGTTGATGGCCAGGCTGATAGCAGCAATGTTCTGCAGAGCCTATGGAGGGAAAAAGGGTCACTGCCAACGTCGAACCATTCATTTGCTCATTCATTAAGCGCGAACTGGACAAGACCCTCAGCTGAGCACTGGGGGTTGTCGGGAGCAGTAGGGACAGACATGAGCCAGATGTGGTTCCCCTCACCCGGAGCACCAGCCCAGACTGAGAGACAGATTCTCCCAAGACCCCATGAGAGCTGCAAACATAGGGCAGAAATATTCTCACTGCCCTGAGAGAGGGGCAGGTGCAACGCTGGTGGGCTCGGTGGACCCGGAGGACATGGTCCACAGGGCGTCTGGGCAAGCTCTTTAGGGAAAGAGAAGAGCAAAGAGGAGCAGAAGGGGAGAGACAAACAGCCAGTGCTGGGCCACAGGGTGGGAGGGTGCTGGGAAGGAGTGCCCTGGAGCCAGGCCGAGGCCGCTATATGAGCTCAGCGCAGCAAGACGCGGAGCACTGGTCCGGCACAGAGGACGGGCTGTGGGAGGGTCAGCCTGAGGGGGCACGGAGATGGGCCACGGGGACCGGCAAGAGGGAGGGGCCCACAGGCACACGGCATGGAGCTCTTGGCGCCATATGGTCACATCTCAAGTTTTGGCTGTGTGTCATGAAACCAGGGGTGGCAGTGGCAGTGCGGGCAGGGATCTGTTACGAGGGAGGGAGTTTCCACTCTGCCTACAGGTCTCCGGAGAACGCATACAAACACCTCTTAGTTGATGGGGGATTCCCACGTCTTCCCTGAGAGAGGACCCTGTGTTCACTGAGCAGACTCGCCAGGAATAGATGCCTACTCCCACATGACCCTGGGCAAACCTCCCCCTTGTCTGAGCTCAGCGTCCCCATCTGCCCACTGGAGGTTGGACCACAAGTGCTAGGGTATTCAAGGGGTGAGTCCAAGGCTCTCAATGTGTGGTCTGGGCCTGGGGTTCCCAAAACCCTTTCAGGGGCTCGGCACGGTGAAAAACACTGTTGCAGTGATGCTAAGACATTATTCTGCCTTCTCCCGCCTTCACGCTCCTGAGCACCCAGTGGAGTCTCCCAGAGGTGCCTGCGAGCCAGGATGACCACGGCAGCTGGGGCGCCGGCCCGAGGCCTCCTGCCAGGGTAGACACAAACGACTGCCGTCCTCCTCAAGAACCACTGTATTTTGAAACATACAGCTGTGTTTTACAGAATGTGTTACTCATATTAACATGGAATGAGTTTATTATTTCTTAAAATGAACTGTTAAGTGTTAAAATTTTTTGTTTCAATTTGTAAAAATTTAAAATCTCCTTTAATTTCTGATGGCATATATCAATATGTACAACATGTCAACATAAGCTTTTGGGGATCCTCAATAATCTAGAAGTGTAAAAGGATCCTGGGACCAAACTGTCAGCAGCTCTCCTACCAGGGAAGAAAGTTACATCCAAAATTATCTGAAACCTAAGTGTACAGAAACTTCAGCCAAACTGTCGATTTAAGGCATTAGTTGGTTTGGTTTCAAAGACACAAATTCTTGCTGGCATCTTCCTAACCCATGGTCTAACATGAATGACACTGATAAATGGGCTCAGTGGCTCCCGGACAGCACAGGGAAGCGACTGGGGGGGGGGGGGGGCAGAGCTCCATGCCGACCCGGGGAGCCGCGGGGATGGGGACAGCCAGCTCTGACAGGGAGACGGTACCTGCGCCACGCAGCGGAGAAGGTGGTCGTCAGTGGTTAAGGCCAGCAGGTAATCCTGCAGCAGGCCGAGCTCCTGGGGAGAGAGCAGAGACGCAGCATCACGGGACCAGCACCCAGGGGACACCCACCCGCAACCACAAACGTCTCGCTCTGCTGGGCACCGCATGGCACCACCTCCCTCGGGAGCTGTGGACGGGGCTGGACCAGGGGTAGCCTGGTGCCTGGTTCCAGGGGGGCTCTGCCCTGACTCACCCACAGGGTCAGTCTCCTCACGTAGAAAATGAGGGGGTAAGCTAAAGAATTTTGAAAGGCCTTGCGTCTCTCACATTCAATGGGCCTACTGTGCTCGTGGGAGGAGAAAACAGGAGGAAGAGGGGCCCAACCGTTTCATTTTCCAGAACTCACTACTGTTGAGGACTAACCGAAAGCAGTTCTTCTCCCTTTGGCTTTAGGTCTGACAAGATAAACAGTCTTCCCGGGGCTTGGGCAGAGGTGAGGGCCTGGGACATCAGGCCACACGCACCCCACCCCCCACCGGGCAGCAGAGGAAGCCCTGGCAGGACCCTCACCTGGGCGCGGTTCTCAGTGACGAAGAAGAGCTCGGTGAGGGCGCGGTGCAGGGGGAGGAGGATGCCAGGCTGCGTCACGTCCTCAAACAGGCTGTACTCCATGTGGGTGAAGAGCTGCCACAGCGGCTTCAGCAGCGCAAGGTCACAGAGGTCACTGCGGGGGGCAGGGGTCAGACGTGAGACAGACGCCCGCTGACGGACTCCCCCCACCTCCAGTAAAGTCATTACCCTCCCCAAAAATATTCACCAGCAGCAAACGGAATGGGGCAGAACCCAAACTTCAAAACAGGACTCCAAGGAAGCGGGACACCCTGGAGCACGGTGGGAAATCAACCGCGCGTCTTTAAAATGGGTGCCACCGGCAGTGGAAGAATCTCGAGATGGATGTTATGTGGAAAAAAGCAACAATAAAACTGCACATACAAAATAAAACACAACTGCACATACAGTATCATGTGACCACGTCAAAAACAACAGTGAATACACAAAAAAGGTTATCCGTGGTTGTCCGTCAGTTTCCTAGATTTCCTTCTTTTTTTAAATATTTTATCTATTTGAGAGGCAGAGAGAAAGAGAGCGAGCGAGCGAGCATGAGCAGGGGGAGCGGCAGGCAGAGGGAGAAGCAGGCTCCCCACTGAGCAGGGAGCCCGATGCGGGGCTTGATCCCAGGACCCCGGGATTGTGGCCTGAGCCGAAGGCAGACGCTTTACCAACGGAGCCACCCAGGCGCCCAAGTTTCCTAGATTTTCTGCAACACTCGTTGCTTCAACAATCAGAGAACAAGAAAAGATTTAAAAGACGGTGATGACCAATATGACAATCGGGCTCATAAAACATAAGAAATATGCTAATGAGGGTGCTCGGGCCAGAACCCTTTGCAGTTCTGTGGGCCTCTGGTGAGAGACTCGCTGACATTTTTGACTCAGAGGGAGGAGGTACTTTTCATTCCACTTCAACATCCTTCAGAGGAGAAAAGTTATGAAGCAAATAATATTCTGGGCCTCACTACGTGACTTTATGATTTATAATCTTAAATTTTGCCTTTTCTCTTTAATGTATGACTTTAAAAAGTATTCTGTACATTTACTCTTGGAGCCAATCACTTTCTCCCAGAGCAGTGACTCCTCCTAAAGTAAATAAAGCAAGGGGAAAACTTGGTTTGATTTAAAGAGACAGCTCTATAGCGGAGCTTCCAGGAAAGCGCTCAGGGAGTGAGGTCAATGCACCTGTGTGGCTCATACCACGTCTGCCCACCCTCCCTCCCCTGGGGCTGCCTTTCCCCTCTGCCCGTCCAGTCTGGCCCCGGGCCTGAGGAAGGTCAGCACACTGCAGAAGCACATCCACAATGTGGCCAGGAAGGGCCCAGCCGTCTGAAGATGGTTTCAAACCCATCACTCAACCAGACAGTTCTCACCGCAATCTGCTCTCAAAAGAACAGAACTGAGCCCCTGCGGGCTAAGGGACCCTTCCTCACACCAGGACAGAGGGGAGACCGCAATCACAGTCCGCTTACCCCTCCCTCTGCTAGCCTGCATGCAGACGGACCGCTCTCCCTGACTCGGAGAGCCCTTCATTTGTAAAATTACAGCTCCATATTACACCAGAAGATGCCCTGCTACTTCGGTATCACTCCACTCACTCTGACTGGCACCTTGTGTCTGTGTGCCTTAAAAATGCTGGGGTGAGGGGGTGCCTGGGTGGCTCAGCCGGGTAAGCATCTGACTCTTGATTTTGGTTCAGGTCATGATCTCGAGGTTGTGAGAGCGAGCCCCCTGTCAGGCTCTGCACTGGGTGTGGAGCCTGCTTAAGACTCTCTCTCAGCACCGCCCCCCCGCCCCCCGCTCACATGCTCTCTCTCTCTCTTAAAAAAAGAAATGCTAGAGAGGGACACTGAACCCCTGAGAGGCAGGGAACTGAGTGTGTGGACGATGCGTGGGGCAGAGTTGCCAACACCTGCCCTCCAAGGTGAGGAACAAGGCAATATATCTTTAATCTCCACTTCTACTCAGTCCTCTATGGGAGGTCCTGGCTAGTGGAAAAAAGGCAAAAAGACAAAAAGAACAAAAAAAAGCTTCTAAGGACAGAGAGGAAGAACTAAAACCAGTTGTTTGTAGATGACATGACTGTGCTCTGAATAATCTAGACACACTCTCCTAAAGTTAACAGACCATGGTCATTGCATACAAAGGAAATACACACAAACTAATTATATATGAGCAGAAACAATTACAAGTGAGAATTCTAAAACACCAATTACAATAGCATCAAACCCATTAACTACCTAGAGATAAATCTAACGGAATATTGTGCAGGCCGTCTACACAGAAACCTGTAAGACATGACTCAGACCTGAGCAGTGGTGGACTGTAGAGAGAAGCCAACATTTAACGATTGTGGGTTACGGGGTTCAGTGTTGTCAAGAGTCAAAACCCCATCAGGTGAGAGGAGGCGTGTGCATATGTGCACGGACAGAAACAGACACGTGGAGTGGGAACACCATGAGGTACCAGAAGTTCTGGCAGAGCAACTAGGCAGGAACCAGAAACAAAAGGCATCGACACTAGAAAAGAACATGTAGAATCGTCTGTGTGCAGATGACACCCTATACAGAAAACACCAAAGACTCCACAGAAGAAACATTAGAACTAATAAATTCAGTAAAGTCACAGGGCACAATATCAATAGAGAAAAACCAGCTGCATTTCTACACACTAACAACAAACTATCAGAAGGAGAAATTAAGGAAACAAACCCATTTACAATGGGATAAAAAAGAATAAAATACTTAGAAATAAATTTTAGCAAAGAAGGTAAACAGTCTGTATGCTGAAAACTGTAGAACGTTGAAAGAAACTGGAGAAAACACAAGTGTAAAGGATGATCCATGTTCAAGGCCCGAAGAATACGGTTAAAATCTTCATGCTGCCCAAAGCAATATACACAGTCCATGTAGCCCCTATCCAAATCCCAACAGCATTTTCACAGAAATAGGAAAAACAACCCTAAAATTCATGTGTAACTACAGAAGACCCTGAATAACCAAATCAATCTTAAGAACAAACCTGGAGGCCTCACACATCCTGATTTTAAACCACGATACAGAGCTACAGTGATCCAAAGAGTATGGTACTGGAACAGAAACAGGCATAAAGACTAATGAACAGGACAGAGGGGCCAGAAGTAAACCCACGCATATACAGCCAATTAATTCTGACAAAGGTGCCAAGAATATGCAATGAGGAAAGGACAGTCTCCTCAACACGTGTTGGAAAAACTGGATAACCACATACAACAGCACAAGACTGGCTCCCTCCCTTATGCCACGCACAAAATCAAGTCGAAATAGATTAAAGATTTGAATGAGAGACCTCCAACTGCAAAACTCCCACAAGAAAACATAAGGGCTAAGCTCCTTGACATTGGTCTTGGCAACGATTTTTTGAATTTGACACAAAAGCAAAAAGACATGGGACTACATCAAACTAAAAAGCTTCTGCGCAACAAAGGAGACCATCGACAAATGAAAAGGCATCTATGGATGGGAGAAGATATTTTTATATATATATTTTTTAAGATTTTATTTATTTGACAGAGAGAGACACAGTGAGAGAGGGAACACAAGCAGGGGGAGCGGGAGAGGGAGAAGCAGGCTTCCCGCTGAGCAGGGAGCCCGATGTGGGGCTCGATCCCAGGACCCTGGGATCATGACCTGAGCCGAAGGCAGACGCTTAAGGACTGAGCCACCCAGGTGCCCCGGGAGAAGATATTTTTAAACCACATACCCGATAAGGGGTTAATATCCAAAATATACAAGGAACTCATATAACTCGATTTCAAAAGAACCCAAATAACCCAATTAAAATATGATCAAAGGACCTGAACAGACATTTTCCCAAAGAAGACATGCAGATGGCCAACAGACACATGAAAAGATAGGGGCTCATATCACTCATCATCAGGGAAATGCAAATCAAAGCCAAAGCGAGATACGGCCTCACATGTGTGGGGATGGCTATCATCGAAAAGACAGATGACGACAGGTGTTGGCGAGGACGCGGAGGAAAGGGAGCCGTCCTGCACTGCTGGTGAGAAGGCACGTGGGTGCAGCCACTGTGGAGACCAAGATGGAGGTTCCCCGAGTAATTAAAACCGGAACTACCGTATGATCCAGCAACTGCACTACTGGGTTTATAGCAAAAGCACACGAGTCATTCCCTCCAAAAGATACCTGCACTCAAATGTTCACAATGGCCAAGCCTGGAAATAAACAGAGTGTCTATTGATGGAAGAGTGGATACAGCACACATGGTGCTGTGCACACAACGGAGTATTCTTCAGCCACGAGAACATGGCCGTTTGTAACACGGACGGGCCTGGAGTAGAATAAGCCCGAGAAAGACAAACCCTGGGCGATGTCAATTCTACGTGGAAACCCAAACAAACCAAACAAACTCGTAGACACGGAGAGTAGAATGGTAGTTGCCAGGGGCTGGGGGTGAGGGAGATGGAGAGAGGCCGGTCAAAGGAACAAACCCTCCAGCTGTGAGGTGAATAAGGTCTGAGGACCTACTACACATCATGGCGACAACAGGTGACAATGGTATATAGCGCTGCGTCGTTTAACAGAAATTTCATGAAAAGCCAGTTTCAGCAAGAGAGACCTTCAGTGTTGTCACACACAGCAGAGGTAACCATGTGAGGTGCTGGGTGCGTTAACTAACCCGACAGGGAACGCTTTCACAACATGGACATACGTGAAATCACCACCTTCTATGCTTTAAATATACTACAACTGTGTCAGTGACAACACCTCACTAAAGCGCGTAAAACAAGAGAAAGGAAGCAACCAATTCTAAGATGTGTGGTATATGCAGGGTTGGATAATCCAGGACATGCTCGAAGATGAAGAACGGGTTTATACGCCGAGATACGTACATTTGTCATAAAGCTACAACACTGACCACAGTGAACCAAGAAGACCAAGGGATGGAAGAAGGCAGACACAGATGCATGTGTACATGGACACCATCTTGGTGACAAAGGTGGCGCTGGAGTGAGGGGAGGGAAAAGGTGGTCCATGGGGTCGGGTGGAGACTCAAGTTCGAATAACCAATCCTGACTCAACACTTCACATCACGAACAGAAGTTACTCCATGTGGGACATAAGCGAGATGTGACAGAAGAAACAAGCTTGGAGAACACAAGAAATATCGTCACGACCCCAAGATGCAGTACGGCAAACATGTCCTAAACAGGACAATAAAAGCACTACCACTAAAAACAAAAAACAAAAAAACAAAAACGCTCGATGAACTGTAAGATATTAAAATCAGAAGCTTCTTTCCATCAGACACCACTGAAAGAGAAATGACAAGCCACAGAGTGGGAGGGGACCCTCACAGTCCAAACGCCCCGCAAAGGACCCATGGAGGGCAGCTCACCTGTGGGTGCAGCATCGGACGATCCTCAGAAGCAGGTGGATGGCTTTTAATCGCTGGTGGCCAGTCTGGCGACAAGCCACACCCACCAGCCACTCCCAAATTTTGGCCAACGGGAGGTGTGGCACAACTCTCTCTTCTGACAACATCTGCTTCAAAATCTCGAACCCTGGCCCACACCCACAAAACACAGAGGTTTAGAAACATGAACTGCTTGAGTTTCGATAAATAGAATAAAACTATGATCATTTAAATTTTGCCTAAAATTATGCCTTTGATAAGAGCAACACAGGATAACATTTTCAGTTTCTCCTTTTTGCAACAAGCCCTGTGAACTCTAAGAGAAGTGTCTTCTGTGGCCCCGCAGGCGGCCCCTCCTCTGTCCACTCACGCTGGCCACTAGCTGCCATAGCACAGAGTGACATGTGGAAGTCTCCGAGAAAAGCAGCTGCTTCGATTTTAACAAACATCGGTGACACCGTGGCCCCTGCATCCACAGAGGGTCCCTGGCCGGAAGAGCCTGCAGACGGAAAGAGTGGCGCACACACCTGTCTGGAATCGCCCCAGGTGTCCTGCCGTCACAGTGAATTTGTAACCCCACTCCGTGTTGCTCATGTCAGAGGTGAAGCGGTAGTACAGAGTATCTCCTGGGTCACACAAGAATCAGAAACAGCTCAGGACACCGCAGCAACAGGCAACGGCAAGTGACAGGCTCCTGACGAGAAAGGCTAAACCCGGGGTGACACCGCCCCCACCCCCAAAGTCCCTCTTCTCAGTACTGAGCTTAAACACTCGATGTGACGTGTCTAGGTGACCGAGGATGTATTTACTACCTGGGAGCTCAAAATCCTTCCATTTCTGCTGGGACCCACTGAAAGTGTGTCGATCCTGCTGGAAGTCGCCACTGCTGGACATGGCCAGCTCATCACAGCCTTCCTCTGTACTGCACTGCGAGTCGAATTTGATGGAGAGATAGATTGCACCCGGGATGTGGACTTTATCCTGGGGACGGGACGCAAGGACACGCCTGTCACTCCCGAGGGCTTGCTCGTGCTGCGCCCTGCAACCCTCAGACAAGCAGGATGGGGAGCACGCGCCTGGGCACTGAGACAAAGGGCAGGGGTCTCCATGGTGTGGCCACGTCGTCAGGAGACGGGAAAGCCGGGGCTGAACCCAGGCCCACACATGGACTCGGTGTCAAAGACGCCAAGGGTTCCCCGAAAGGACCCTGTTGCAGGAGAAGCAAATGCCGCCCCCCAGGCCCAGGGGCCCACTGTTTCCTATTAAGACAAGGTCAGAAGACTGGGCTGTGGAGACTCCCTGGCTTTGGGGAGACAGAGGGAGGACTGTCCAGAGAGGATGAGCTTCTCAGCAGCTCTCGTAGGTCCTGCCAGCCACGTGCCCTGGACATACCTCAAAGTTAGTGTTATTGTTATATGGGTGTTTCGACTCCCTGACTTGCACCTCCATCCCGGGCTCCTCCATGAACTGGCAGGCAGCCAGGGCCATGGTCCCCAGCATGCTCCCTCGGCAGCCCTGGAGCACCTTCCGCAGGATCTGGCAGGACGTGAGGCAGAGAGCGTCAGAGCCACCAGGGGCAGGAAGAAGGACGTGTCCGTTTCAACCCAAGGCCCATCCAAAGGGCTGGCTTCACTCCGGCCTCTAGCCCCTGGCCCCACCCCTGAAGCCAACTCTTCCAGCTGCCTCCCATGCGGGTGGGAGGGGGGCCCTGCTGTGGACCAGGACGCCTCTGCCTCCGTCCTTCCTGAAAACACCACTTCTGGGAGCTCAGAGAAAGCCAACAGAACCAATCAGAGGTGGTCCCGGGCCCTGCAGAGTCCTGAGCTAAGCAGAGGCGGGACGCACAGAGAAACAATGACCGTACAAGGGGACACATGCCAAAGAGGTGTGGAACCGGGGGCTCCATGGGGCAAGGATGGGGGGAGGCCATGCTCCCCTCCGGCACTTCCATGAGAGGAATGGCTACAGCAAAGCTGCCAACACCTCCAAGGCTGTGTGGCTGGGAACAGATCTAGGGGACTCTGCAACCAGTGGTGTTCTTAGACGGGCAAATTAAGGATGAGGAGATAAACTCACTTCCGGAGGAATCCCCCCGCAGGGCATACATGGGGGGTGAGGGTACACCATGTGTGTGTGTGGGCGCCGAGGGGACGGGGATGAAGGCAGCGGCAGCAAATGTGACTCAAGATTTTTGCACTTGGAAGATGGAAGGTGGTCAGAAAACTTCCCCGCTCAGCTGGAGGAGGCGTCCATGGCTTCCCCGCCGCCCAGATCAAGCCGTGTTCTGCTGTGTGGCTCCTCTGGGTGCGTTCACCCTGGGAATCGCTACCCCGGCCTTGCTCTCAAAGACGACATGAAGATTTGACTTAAGAATAGAACCAGAGGCCTGGAAACTCAGAACCGGACCATGGGGTTGAGCTGCAGACCTCACACCTGCCTTCCAGAGGCCGGGGCCTTGGACTGCACTTCAAGACGGAACTCTCCCCAGTTACAGTGGAACAGGTGCAAGTGCCCACAAACACCCGGGGGGCTCCTGCACCACGGGGACAGTCCCCTGGACTCGGCATTAGATGAGAAGAGACAGGCTAGCACGAGCGCAGAGTCAGGCTCCATGGGATCGCACCGTCAGGTACCCTCTGCGCACCAAGTCTGCCCTAGGCTGGGAGCTCAGCTCCAGGCCAGGACCTGAAGGAGCCCAACTACACCCCCACCCAGTCTCTGCCGCACCCACAGCCATTGTGGAGCCGCACACCCACACAGGTGGGCTCCCGCTGGGGAGGCCCGCACCAGAGGAAGCAGGTTCAAACATGGGGGTGGGGGGCAGAGAAGGAACAAAGGGGGTGAGTGCCCAGCCTGGCCTGTTTAACAATCACCTTCTCCCACTGGTGCTTTTCTTCCAGCTGCATGAACATGTCCAAAATGTAGGTCATGTGGGCCGGGCCACTGAGCTCCAGGGTGTCCTCGCTCACTGGCACATGGCCAGGCCACTCGGCGAGCAAGGAGGCCAGCACATGGCGGGCGTATAGGACGGCTGTGGCCTCGTTCACGCGGAACAGGTACTCTCGGACAGCCCTCTTGCTCTGGCAGTTCAGCTCCTTGTGCAGGAGGGCGGCGCTCTTGCTACGCCGCTGCTTGGCGTAGCTCTGCTGCAGTTCACTCTCTGTGCTGGCGATGAGCTTCTGGGTCACGGGGTTCGATTCAGCCGTGGCCTGGTCACAGCGTGCAGGCCGGGACTGCAAACCCAAGACCACCGTTACCGCGGCCTGCCCCCTCACCACTGGGTGGGGGCTGGGGGCCAGGGGCAGACATTTCGTGTCCAAGGTAGAAGCAACATACCAAACACGGTAAGATAATCATGTCTGTATCCACGGCTTTGGCACTCTGCTCCTCTAGTCTCAGACTCCTACTGGGCTGCCACCTCTGAGCCAGGGTCCGAATCCTTTCATCTGTGGTGAGCTCATCCCCATCAAACCTGGGGAGAAGGGGCACAAGGCTGGGTACATACATCACAGAAAGCTAAGAGTTCAGGCCGCAGTGAAACCTGTCAGAAATACCGATCCGAGTTACTGTCCTGTTACTCTGCAATGACATTATCGCCCCCCATACTCTGCAATCTAGACTCACGGCACTCATTTGTTTACTCAGGCACACAGACCCCCTGGTGGCGGAGGATGCAAACTGTCCCTCAGGATCTCAGAAACAAAGTTCCCAGAAGCTTTAGCAAGGTACACAATCACCCAGCTGGCAACAGGGTGCCCAGCCCCTCTTCAGCTAGACGGGGTGATGCAACTAGGTTCTCGCCCACAGGAGGCAGCTGGGTTGGGGGTGCCCTCCTGTAATCTACCTTCCCCCTCTCTGGGCTGGAACACAGGTGGCTAGGGGTGAGCCACGTGACAACACGCAGGAGAACAATACAATTGGGGATACAGGGTCACTCACAGAGCAGAGCTGCCTACCCACCCTGGACTGCCACGAGAGAAAAAATAAATTCTATCTTCCTTGACCCGGTGTTTCTGAGTTTCTTGGTTACAGCAGCTTAGACTGTGCCCTACTTCATTTCACAAAGGATTTGAGGCAACATATAAGAAATACGGGAAAAAAGAAATGGAAGATAAAAACAGAAAAGAAAAATTAAATTGGAACTGGATGTAAGTTAGAATAAGAAATCAAAAACCTAGGATATGACAGACAAAGGGGAAGATTAGCTGCAACAGGTAAAGTTCCGCACACATTTGGGAGCCGGGCCAGAGAACCAGGCTGAACTTCCTGGCCAAGAGAAAGGGAGTATTATTAACTTCATGGCAACCCTTGGGGAAATCCGTGAAGATAATGTGCAACAACACTCTGACCAGAAGGCCCTGCTTGGCACTGTCTGCCCCAGGACGACGAATGGGCGAAACCTTGGCACCTGCCGCAACGTCTGCACCCAGGGGGACACACAGCACAGCTCAAGAGGGTGCAGGCCATGCGGCGGGGTCAGCTTTCACAGCGCTGCACGAAGAACTGAAGACCAGGCCCACGAGTTGGCCTCGCAGGAGATTTTACCCCGAGCCTGCTGGCAGGAGGCAGTCGTGGCCCTGCCTCCCTTGCCCCCCCACTCACCGCGCGTCAGCTCTATCTCGGGGCCCTCACCTCTTCTGAACCTCCAGGAAGAAAGAATCGGTCCTTTTCATCTGCAACTCGTATATGGCCCGGAGGATGTGCAGAGGGGCATTGAGCGCATCGTGCGCCATCTGCAGGGCATGGAGGAAGCACAAGAGAGACGAACTCAAGGGATACAACAATTATTTTCTAAAGTCACCACAGGTTGTAATTTCTGAGTACCGTGTGGTCACTTAGAGCAAATAAAGTAATAAACTCTAAAACAGGGACTGCAGGATCTGCTCTGGGATCAGAAATTCATAGAAAACACAGAGCATGGAAATAGCAGACCACTGCATGCAACGCTAACAGTCAACAGTTACTACCCGCCACGGTGCCCTCCGCCAGATTCCCTGGAGCTGCCACGCACTCAACTCCGACAACTGGCACATCGGTCCAGAGATGTGCTTGCTTTTCCGATCCCCGCCCCATACTCTCTGGCTATTCTTCCTGCAGTCACCATTCGAGGAAGAGTGTATCCCCAGGGAACGTAAGAGAATGCACCTCAGAAACCACGAGGGACACCATGGATCGAAGGGCTGCAAATTATGAGCAAAACTGCATGTGCTTATGTCACGGGAGAGATGATCTAAAGCTTTTAGGCCCAAAAAGCTTAAAAATGACGGGCGTAAAGATTTTTCCGTTCTTCTGGATCAATTCTGCACAACTTAGACTGAGTCTTCAGGAAGGACCTCTCGGCACGTCAGACTGAGGCACTTTTGCATGGAGGCCAGAACAGTGCAAGCCAAAGAGAACCCACCCCTTGGGTTCACCACGGCCCTGGAACTCACCAAGAAGCATATCCTGGTGGGCTCATCCAGGCTTTCCAGGGGGTCCGGCTTCTTCTGCTCCGGCTCAGCAGGGCTGCTGACCGTGCCTCCGGTCTCCTCCTCTTGGTCCCCTCGCTCGCCTTGCTCCAGGGCTGTGTGCTCGGCCACGGTGTGGATCTCCTTCTTTGAGGAGTACAGCATGATGGACAGAATCTACAGACAGAAGCCCATGCAGGGCAGGGGTGTGGGGGCTCAGTGGGTGAGATCTTTAACCCTTAAATGGTAGAAAATATTTGACCTAACTTTTTAAAAGACGTAAGGATTCACAAAAAGAATGTAAAATCAGTAACAAAAGAAGACACATGAAAACATGTTCAATTTACCTACCATCAAAGACACGTTAACTAAAACTCTGAGGGACCTCTGCGGCTGACGACGTAAGTTGGGATCACTTTGAGAACGCGTTTTGGCGAGATGTAAAGAGCTGTAACATCTACTGCCTTTAACCCAGCCAGTAACTCTCATTTTAGGGATAACGTAAAGCATGTTACAGTCAATGAAGCTGAGATCTACCTTTCGTGCGTCATTTGCAGGCATTATGCTGGGGGTCATGACAACTACCCAGTGAGTCAGGGAAGCGGCCACCGCACGCCCCCGCCGTGTCCGAGGGCCACACGCTGTACCATTTGCGTCTACACATGGGACAGGGACGCAGGCGGAAACAACTGGAATAAGGCAGTACAGAAAATACTAACAGTGGCTGTGTTTGTGGGGTGGAATTGGAAGTTTTTCTTTCTTTTCTATATTTCACATTTTCTGCAAATCTAATTTAAAATTTATTAGTTGTTCCTCAGAACGAGAGCCCAGATGCTCTCCAGGTTTTCCACTGCTATACTTCAGCACCGTTTCCTGAAACCTAACTGACCCCTCCTGTGGTGCTGGACAGCGGGCTCCTCAAGCTCAGGCCTCTGGGTGACGGAGCAAGGCTGGCTGACCTCCCCCCGCGCAGCAGCAGCCTGTCCTGGACCAGAGGCTGGCACGCGCACGCACGCTCAGAGAACCAGAGCAATTCCACCAGGACAAATCTGAGGCCCAGAAGGAACTGTGATGAGATGAAAATTATCAACTAAAATCCTACATAAAACAAACACATTATGTTTATATATAAGCAGATTTTAGCTCGAAGGAACTTTAAAGGGAAATAATAATTCACAGACACACTTTAGGGCCGTGACGTAATGGTCAGCCATGTGTTTCCGTAAAATACTTCTCCTCCAGCGTTCTCCGAACAAACATCAAATTCATTCTCTCCCAGACAAGGAGAACAGGTGTCATAATCCCTGTTTCCAACAGGGGACACCAATCTGAGACACGGTTCCAATGGATGCACAGAATAAGCATGCCCGGGGCAGAGGCGGTACGGCTAACCCACGGGCCTCACTCCTGCGCAGGAAGCCTGCAGCAGGCGGCACATGTCTTACCTCCAGGTCCCGGAGGAGCCACGTTTTACTAAAACCGGTCCCTTTGCTGCACTTTTTCACCAGCAGCTTCAGCAAATCAGTCTGAAGGAAGGTCGCATGAGTCTCTTCAAAACCGTGAGCCTGCCAAATAAAAGGGAAATGACCTGCAGCTGCCTCAAGGGAAGAAGGTACCAGCCAGGGGGAGAGAAGCAAGGTTCTTTCAGAGCCCAGTCTAGGCTTGTGGCCCAAGGTCACTGTGTGGGGAAATTCTAGAGTTGCAAGAAGGATGACACTACAAACCTCAGCCCCAACCTAAGTCTGTCCACTCCATGTCTAAATCAGCCCTCAGCAACCATTTCTGGAGCCCAGGACACTCCC